CCCCCCCCACCCCACTACCGTGACCCAGTTCTACCTTACAAACCTGGCTAGACCAGAGAACACACGCTGGCACAGAAAAGAGCGCTGGACACATGGAATTCAAGAAAGAAACCCCTCAGGAACAGGAGTGGGAGTAGCAGTATCATGAGGGAAGGGGGGTGGTCAGGGAGGGGGAAGGGTGAGAAAGGGGGAACCCAGCACAAGATGGGATATCTAGCCCCCCCCAAGGGGGATGAATAACAGAAATGTGGGTGAAGGGAGACAATGGACAGTGTCAGACATGAAATAACAATAATGCATAATTGATCAAGGATACATGAGGAAGGGAGGGGAAAAAAGGAGCTTATACCAAGGGCTCAAATAGAAAATGTTTTGGAAATGATGATGGCAACATGTACAGGTATGCTTGACACGATTGATGTATGAAATGTTGTAAGAGCCCCAATAAAATGATTTAAACAAACACAAACAAGGCTATTCCCGTTCCTTCACTGTGGTAGACGAGATTCACTGGAGGCTTAGTGCATCTGTGGGCCCTGCAAACGGGCTTTGGGCTTCCAGTGTTGTCCGTAGCCTTCTGTAAACCAGGTGTTCACAATTTGAGCTTTGATGCTATTTCCTCCTTTGGATTTGGATGATAATATTTACAATCCTTGAATCACAGGGGCTGGTAGGCTTCTTCCATGCGGGCTTAGTAGACCCCTCTCGTAAGATGGCTGCTTGTTTGAAGACAAGCTTTAACCACAGACACCATCAGAAGTTCTGATAGCCGGGTCCCATCTGGCTTCTTCAACACCCTTCGCTGCAGCACCATGTCTTCCGTGATCGCTTCCTGAGGGCGAGCATCCAGCAGGGTCATCTCATGAGAGATCATTGTTCCTGTCTCTAGACGGCTTATAGACGTCTCGGGTTCACCTTTAGAGACGTCATAGTTTATGTTAGAGAACCTTACAATCCGGGGCGTAAGGTAATTCCATTGGAAGCGTCCTTCATGTGGCCAGTCCCTGGAGAAGGAAGAGGGCCCTTAGGAGACAGAGGGAGGGACACAGTGGCTGCAGCATTGGGCTCGAGCCCGGGAACAGTTGTGAGGGTGGCGCAGTGCAGTATCACTATGGATTGGGGCCAACCTGATGGCATGTGGGGCACCAGCCCCCACAGTTGAATGGGCCCAAGGGGTGTTTGTACAATTGAGGGGTAAAGTTAAAGCATGCAAGTGCCCACCTCCTAGACCAGTGGTTCTCAACCTTCCTGATGCTGTGACCTAACAGTCCCTCGTGTGGGGTGACCCCCGACCATAAAATTATTTCCATTGCTACTTCATCACTGTCATTTTGCTACTGTTATGAATCGTCATGTAAGTATCTGATAGGCAGGATGTATTTTCATTGTTACAAATTGAACATGATTAAAGCATAGTGATTAGTTACAAAACAATATGTAATTATATATTGTGACATATTTATTTCTGATGACAAATCAACGAAATTTTGTCTTGAAGCCTGGTGTAGCATGGGTACTGGTAGGTGGGGGTATCTGCATGTGGGCGGACCCCCATGGAGAGGAGCGGTGTCTGGGTTCCTAAGACCATCGGAAACTATGTGCTTTCTGATGGTCTTAGGCGACCCTTGTGAAAGGGTCGTTGGACCACCAAAGGGGTCATGACCCACAGGTCCTAGACCTTCATGACTGCACCAGGTCCGCGCAGAGAGAGGGAGAGTATATTTCCAACCAAGGCTTACCTACACTCAGGGGCATGCAAGCCCCCTAATTACAGGTAACCACATAGTAACAAAGTGGGCTGGACCCTAACCCTAAAGGTCCCTGAGTACCTAGGAAGAGTAACGTAACCCCAGTGCCGGGGCAGGTGAGGGAGCATCTGTCTTCAGAGGCTAGGGAGCACCAGCAGACGTCTGCCTCTGTAGATACAGCTGCGGCTTCATAGCAGTCAGCCCCGTGCTTGTAAGGGGTAACTTGAAGGCAGCACTCTGATGGGAGGAAACAGTGGGTGACAATATTAATTATGAGAATGTAATCGGGACTCACCTCCCAACTCACGAGGGCGAAGGCCTCCCTCCACCCCAGAAACCCAGCCGACCAGGCTTAATCTTTGAGACTAAAGGATTCTTCCTTATGCACTCTCTTCCTGTTCTCTGCCCTCCACAATGGCACCTAACCACAGCGGCAACACAGAATTGAAAACCCAATAGATAAAGGGAAATTAGACAAGTATAGGCTGGCGAGGAACCACAGTGCACGCATCATAGGCCGGGGAGATTAGACTGCCCGGGGACTGGACGCTATTTACACACTCGATGGTGCTCGGTGATGTTCACCGACCCTGCCCACCTCGTTAACACCTGCCGACCCGCGAAGAGGCACTGAGGGCGCTGGAATGATGAGTGCGGTTTAGAGTTTTAATAGAGCAGGTAGCCCGGCCTTTCTTCCTGGGCCCAGGCCTCTCAGTTAGTCGCCAGCACAGACGGTTGGCCTCACCTGGGGACCTGAGCCGCAGCAGGCAGGGACTGGGAACAAAGCAGACAGAGCGGTGACCTTCTGGGCGGGGACAGACCACAGCCATAGATTAAAGACTAAGCTGTTTCAGGAAAGGCTCAGCAGGGAGAGGGCGGGTGGAGTGGGCGGGCCGAATGGGGGAGGCAGAGGCGGGATGGCAGCAGTCACCGGGGAGGCGGCTGAGGAGTAGGTGTGCTGGGCCTGAGGCTGGACGAGGCTGTGCCCTGGCTGCCAAGAGCCACGGGTGGCCAACTCAGAGTGCTGGGGAGGAGGCGGGAGAGGAGGTCAGAGGTTGGTACTCACGGCCTCGCCCTGGGCCAGTCTGCTCCCAGTCATGCTGGCCATGTTGGGGACACTTGTGGTTGTCCCGAGCAGAGGGATGGGGGGTTACTGCTGGCGCACACAGGGCAGGTGGGGTCTGGTCTTCTGTCAGCAGTGCCTGGGTAGATGTGGGTGGAGAGACCCAGTGGCCCAGGCCAGATGGAGCAGGAAGGGCAGGGGAAGGCGCCTGAGGCG